TGTCCGGATAGGACTCTCCTTGGCGTGGAAGGTAAGCTTGGCGACCAACTATGAAGATTCCTTCTTATGTAACCGACTCTATGTAACCCTAGATCCCCCCGGTGTCTATATAAATCGGAGGGCGTAGTCCGGATAGCATATACTCATTATCATAGTCATACAGGCTAGACTTCTAGGGTTTAGACATTACGATCTTGTGGTAGATCAACTCTTGTAATACTCATATTCATCAAGATCAATCAAGCAGGAAGTAGGGTATTACCTCCATAGAGAGGGCCCGAACCTGGGTAAACATCATGTCCCTCGTCTCCTGTAACCATCGATCTTAGACGCACAGTTCGGGACCCCCTACCCGAGATCCGCCGGTTTTGGCACCGACAGTGACCTCAACCGTCTAGGGTGCTCAAACACCCAAGAGTAACAAGATCCGCAAGGGATTAGTGGGGGGAATCAAATTTCTCTTGGTGGAAGTGTAGATCGGGGCCTTCTCAAGCAATCCCTAGAAAATCAACAAGTTTGATTGGCTAGGGAGAGAGATCGGGCAAAAATGGAGCTTGGAGCAACAATGGAGCTTGGGGACGGCAGAGATAGTCAACTCGGAGAAGAAGACACCCCTTATATAGTGGAAGAACAAATCCAACCGTTATCCACCAACTCAGCCTGCGTATCACGGTACTACCGCAAGGGCACACGGTACTACCGCAAGGGCACACGGTACTACCGCAGGGCCCCACGGTACTACCGCCTGTGCAGCAGAGACCCGAACAACCCAGATGCAAAAGAAGCAGAGGGCGGTAGAACCACTGGCGCGGTACTATCGCTCCCCCTTGCGGTACTACCACAAGGCAGGGATGGTCCAGATATTGGGAAGGCATAGACATATAAAAATACATCCGTCGCAACTTCCGCTGAGTTGGGATCTGTGCAAAAATCTGACACGGTAGTACCATAAGCCAGGAGCGGTACTACCGCGCGGGGTGCGGATGTAAAAAATTACATCCGCTCCTACTGCCTTGCCAGTTGCTGAGCCTGGCCAGAGCGCACGGTACTACCGCGCACCTGGCGCGGATGTAAAAAAATTACATCCGCCCTACTACCGCAATAGCAGCAGCGCCTGGCCTGAGGTCACAGTACTACCGCTCAAAGGAAGCGGTACTACCGTGGGCACTTGCGGTACTACCGCGCCAGAGGCCGGTACTACCACAAGGGCCTGTGGTACTACCGCTCCTAGGAGCAGTACCACCGCATGCCCCGGACCAGCAAACATGACATTTTTGCATAGACAAGAAAAGATGGAGGATGCTCCAAAGTGTCAAAGGAAAGGCGGTGCAAAGGAGAAGACGTGTACGTGATGATTCCACCCAAAACTTTCCAAAGAGGACCCCCTCTTAATAGTACGGCTTTCCTATGACTCAAATCCACCGAAAAGAAACGAAGAGCAACGCTGTCTTCAATAGTCTTCGAGGGGCACCAAATCGTCTTGTGCCTAGTGATGAAATATCTGAAATACTCAATGCACACGATTAGTCCGCAAAAGTATTGTCATAAATCACCAAAACAACTAAGGGATAAATATGCCCTTACAAAGGGGGAATGGGGATGTAGCTAAAGACTGGCCCTACCAATGTCATAGACCGATCTACCACTCATCTGACCCTTGACGCAAAAAAGGCGTCAGAAGAGGTCAAAGTGAGGGGCGGCCCCAAGAAAGCACTCCCAGAATGTAATAAAGTTTGTTATATGCAGAATGCAGGCGGGGTTAAGATGATGAAGATGTATGCTGAAGAAAAAGAGAAGCCCCCGCACAAACGAATGTAGGGGGACCTGAGGCTTCGCCCGAAGAAGTCCAGGTGGAGGACACGCACGCTGGTCGGCTGCGCCGGAAACTCCTCCATTGATAAGGGGGTCCAATATGAGAGGTTGGATGGGAATGACCCCTCCGCCCTTAGCTTCTGGATCTACCCGCCGGAGATGATGGAGCGGGTCCATCGGCTGACGAAAGCATCAGAGTTAGGCTGCGGCTCAACGATGGCGCTAGAGCCATCCGCCTCCTTTCCGCTTCCTTGGTCACATGTGTGCTATGGGCGCCAGTCGAGGAACCTGATTGACTCATTTCTCGCCGCTAAGGGGAGGAAGAGACCTGACTAAAGACAACAAATGTCGCAATGGCAGCGAAGCGAAGCAGAGGTTCAAGGAGGAAGAGACAGGAGCAAAGACAACAAATGTTGCAATGGCAGCGGAGCGAAGTAGAGGCGAAGGAGGAATATGGGGGCGGAATGAATCCCACTCATTCCCCCAGCTGCTCTTATGACCCACTACGGGCAAGCCAAAAATCAAGGTGTCTCCGCACCCACGCGGCCCACGCCCGGTGGGCGGTTCCCATTTACGTCCAACATGCACGGGAATCTGGGCGGACTTGCCATAATGATTCAAGACCCGGCAAGCGTCGGTCTCCGAGCCAATTCTACTATTCACTGTGGTGGTTCTTCGGGAAAAGCAAAAGGTGGTGGCCCCTCACCGTCAAGACCAGAGTCAAGGCATGGAGGCCCATGACAGCAACAACGTCAAGATAGTAACGACCCTGAAGAATGGGCGCCAAATCTTCCACAGGCCGCCAAGGCGTTGGCGTCTCGACTAGGCTCCAGGAACACAAGAAGATAAGAAAGCCTCACGGAGGTCTCGCGACCCCGCCACGCTCGGGGGCTACTGACGGGGTCCTCTATCAGGGGTGGCTAACACCCAGGAAACCGACCTCATCAACCACAAGGGGCCCACCAGGCCCAGGACACGGTGCAAAACCCTAGGAGGCAAGACGACCTTCTTGACGCCCAAGACTAGAGGGCGGCAATGCCCAGATCGCATTTGGCATGTAAACCCTAGACCTCTCCTATCTATATAAAGGGGGGCTAGGGTACTCATTTATGATCGATCCTAAGATAGGAGAACTCTTGGTAGCAAACTCATACACCATTGTAACCCTTTGCACGAGGTATCCCTCCACTATGAATCATCAAAACCAGCAGAATGTAGGGCATTACTCTCCGGAGGCCTGGACCTGGATAAACCCCTCTTGTGACCTCCGGCCCATGACTTCCAGCTGTGCTTGGGCCCCTACCAAGGGATCTGACGAGAATTCACTCCGTCAATTCTCACCGTGGAAAATTGAGAAGCAGGATCATACCAAGAGTTCTTGTGATGAGTTGTGGTAAATTGTGGAAGAAGGTTACAACTCCGCGAACTCCATTGATCTCACTTTGTTGAAGGCTTACAACGAGCAACTGAACTCCACCGCACTCATGATGATAAGGAAGGGCCTATCCGCAAGTGAGAGAAGAGAGTACCTCAACATGAACACCACCAAGCAACTACGGGATGCTCTTGTTTTAACCAAGACCGGCACCACCACACTCTAGCAAACAAGATATGAAGTTGCCAAGAGTGAGCTGGACTACTTCGTGAGAGAGAAGGATGAGTCGCCTCAAGATCTAAATGAATGCCTAAATACTCTTGCTTCTCAAATTAAAAGCTTTGAGCATGAAAGGGGCGATGATGGTTTCACCATAACTGGTAAATTCCTTGTGGACAAGTTACTCACTGCTCTTGCTCCTCGCTATAAGAACATGGTTTGGTCCATAAGACGTGAGCATGGGTTCTCAACCATGACTCTCGATGATTTGATTGGTACCATCTTGCAATATGATGAGCATGAGCTCAATGGAAAGAAACAACTTGTTATGCAAGAAGGAAGTCAAAAAGACCAACCTTGCTTTGAAGGCCAAACATGTCCAAGTCGAAGAATCAAGTGATGATGATAATAAGAAGTTGACTCGAACGGGTGTCCCTCATGCAATTAAATGACACACGAAAGAGAAAATAAACCGTTGGGGAAGAAACATATGAAAATAACTGCAAAGGGTCGGGCACTGCATGGGTATGCAATTGCTTGCCAAATAAGAAAAAACCGGGCCCCTTTTGTGAAAAGCAAAATTGGAACAAACGAACAGTTTGGGCTGCAAAACAAGGGCTAGAAGAAGAAAGAAAAGGGAAACCTACCAAAATCCTCACAGTTGGCCCGAAACGTGGAAGAACAAGAACTCTCGTGAGATTATAAGTTTATAAAATGCCAATATTCATGTCGTTAAAGAAAAAAAAGTCGCCACAACTCCTACAACTTGTAAGAATATTCATGTAATGAAAAAAAATGTTGATATACATAGTTTTTAAAAAATGTTTACCTCGGGTTGAAAAATTGTTTGTCGAATGTAAAAGTTTGTCACATGGTGTAAAAAAATGATCGTGCAATTATAAAAAAAAGGTTTACATGTATTTGAAGAATGGTGTCAACATCCATTAAAAAAGAGAGAAAAATAAAGTATTAAAAAAAACCAACCAGAATTTAATAAGAAAGGATAACCGATAAACTAGCAGAGAAAAATACACACAAAAAAGATATAGCATTTTCTTTCCCAAATATAGTTTTTCTTCTAGTGGATCCCCAAATTTAGTGCTGCCAAAAATAGAAGAAGAAAATAACAAAGTTGTAATAACCTGTTGAAACCTCCATGTTTTTTTAAAAAAGGAAAAAAAAACTACCGAAATCTCCACGGAGTGCAATCCAGTTGGGCCGAAACCTCTAGGAACAAGAACTCTCCAAGAACAAGAACTGCATTGGGCTGGGCTGGGCCGGGTCGCAAGATTATAAGTGGGCGCACCCTCCCGACAGCGCAAGAAACCACACCCACACCAACTTTCCCCGTCTGTCTTTCTTCTCGGCGGAGGCGAACGACGAACCCTAGCCGCGCGAGGAACGCCAAGATCCCCAAGGTACGCTCACCGAAATCGACCGAAATCTCCACAGAAGTGCAATCCGATCGATGGTGTGTGTGCTGTGTCTCTATGGGGGCAGGGGGTGGGGGAGCTGGTGCCGGCCGTTGGTGGTGATTCGTGACGGACTCGTCATCCTAATCCCTAACCGATATACTGTTGGCAGGCCGGCGACGATGGCGGCGGTTCGGTGCGCGGCGAGGAGGCTCGGCGGCTCTCTGCTCCAGCGAACGCAGGCGGCGGTCGCGGAGGAGGGACGCCTGCTCGTGCCAAGCAGGCTCATGCGCTCCCGCCAGCTCTCCACCAAGGTCTCCGGCGAGGTATCTTACCCAAAATTGACATCTTTATTTTTTCGCATCATGATTACGGCATCAAGACTCGATGTAGCCAGCCATAATCGAATTCTGTGCAACCGAAACAGCAACATCTACTGGAAATTGACATCTTTAATTTTTCTCATCATGATTACGGCATCAAGACTCGATGTAGCCAGCCATAATCGAATTCTGTGCAACCGAAACAGCAACATCTACTAGAAACAAAGCAAGATTACTTAACCTGACCATCCTGATGCATGTTTCCTTCCCCCCTTCTTTGTTCCTGTGTTCCAAGTCTGTAATATGATATTTGCGTCTACTGAAGTTTGGTATACTTGATATGATAAAACTGGTTGCTTGTTTGGGCTGTGTCTCCGGCCAAACCTTAGGTCACCGTGCAGGGGAGGGAGGGAGGCATCTCCTTCTCATGTTTCAGGTGGATCATGTGCGTGTGCGTGTGCGTGTGCGTGTGTGTGTGTGTGTGTGTGTGTGTGTGTGTGTGTTTTGTTCTTTGTAGTCTATATCATGTGCTCCCTCCGTTCACTTTTGTAAGTCATTTCAGACAACTCAAAATGGGTTGTTTTATACATTGTCTGAAATGTCTTCAAGGTCTTATAAAAGTGAACAGAGGGAGTAAGAAAGACTCGGTGGTTTCTGTTACTGGAAATCGGGAGGCGACCTCTCTTTTATCAACAACAACAACAACAAAAAAAAAACCTGCCCATCCTGACGTACTGGTGCTTATCATTTAAGCAACTTATTTTCCTGTTTGATCCGAGAATGACTGTTTACTCATCCTTGCTGGCCTGCCCCAGCGATCGCAGGTGGCGGAGCGACACCTCCTCGAGCCAGGCAGCCTCATGCGCTCCCGCCAGCTCTCCGGCGAGGTATCTAAACCAAAATTGACATCTTTTATCTCATGATTTATCTGCCGACATCAAGGATGTAGCCTGCGGTAATTGAATTCTGTGCAGCCACTAGACTATAAACAAGAGCTAAATTACTTACTTAGCATCGTCATATGTACTAGAGCTTGTTTAATCTGACCTGAAGCTGTTGTACATCCTGACTTACTGGCAACAGGACTGCATGCGAATCATATCTTTAAGCAACCTTATTTTTCCTGGTTGAAGATGCCAGCATGATGACCTTTTTGCTCGTCCCTTTCGCATACACTGTAATTAGTTGCAACACATAAGATGGATGCTGCTGCGGCTTTGATATCTTCTGCTTGATGCACTCCCTAGCTAGTATTTCCTCCGTCCCAAATTACTTGTCTCAGATTTTTCTAGATACGGATTTATCTCACACTAAAACGTGTCTAGATACATCCGTGTATAGACAAATCTAAGTCAAGTAATTCGGGACGGAGGGAGTATGATTCTGTGACTTGATTTGTCCATATATACGGCAAGTATGATTCTGTGACTAGATGATAACCATGCACCATGCATTCTGCATGTACCGAACCTCACTTAACTGGCAGACAACACAGTATCCTTCTTAATTACGTGGTCCCTCCGTCCAGAATTACTTGTCGCAGAGATATGAATAAAAATGGATGTATCTAGAACTAAAATATGTCCAGATACATTCATATCTCCGACAAGTAATTCCGGACGGAGTGATTATTTAACAATCCTGGTCAGCGCTTACTTGATGATTGATGATGCAAAGCAAGCACACTGACCATTGTCCATGTGTATCAATCCAGCATGCTCGCAACATCCAGAAGAAAGAGGATGACTGCTGGGCGGGGTTCAATGAGACGCTAAAGAGGTTGGACGAGCTTCAAAAAAAGAAGAAACCAAGTGTCTTTCAGCAGTACGTAGAATATCGGAGGCCCAATTTCTTCCTTATTTTCCTGTTTGTTTGTTTGACAGGTTTCGATACATACATATAATCTCATTTGTCCTACCTCTCTCTACCTGCAGGCGCATGATATCCATCGACCGTGCGTTGAAGAGTTTGGTCTATGGATCTTTCAAGGTGACAGTTGTGTATGTGGCTGCTGCTACTGCTTTCTCTGGCAGTGGGCTAGAAGCGTAGCCCAGGCCGTTACCAAGGAAAACGTGTGAAGACGAGGTGGAAAAATGAGAACCAAAGATGGCCGCCCAGCTTGTTTTATGTTTAATTATGACCCCTGCAGTTTGGCTAGCTAGCACTATGCTATCGTGCGCTGTGATATTGTGTGACATGGTATCATGTTATTATATCTCTACCTATCTATCTATTCGAGTAGATTCTGCATGAAACTGTAGCTTGAAGTGAACATGCTTGCAAGGTCACTGACGTGCATTGTTGGGCTCCTGTTTAGTGCTTCTGGATCGAAGTGATTGCAATCTACTCAGAAGTGCTCACTTTCATGACTGCCTTGTGTTTTTCCCTCCACCAGGGGGGCAGGCTACTCGTGTACAGATCCTTTCACTTCATGACTGCCCTGTCCTTTTTTCCTGTCACCAAGTGGCGGGCTTGTTTTAGCGCACTCTTACAAACCTGTTCAAAAACATGGGGAAACAAGTGCAACTTTAGAAGGCGCAACATTTCCCGTCATCAATCAAATAAATAAATGATCACTGTGAGCCATCTACCAAATGAGAACGCTGGCAAGTTTGTTCTAAATTTTGCCATCTTACTTTCTTTTCTTAATGCTCTAGAGAGGTTCCAGATGTTCCAATCTCAAAATGCTTGTCTTATAAGATTTGTCTTGATACGGATGTATTTAGAGACGTTTTAGTGTTAGATACATCCGTATCTAAATAAATTTAATACAAACTTTTTGGGACAAAGGTAATAGTACTTTTCTTATAATGCTCTAGAACGTCTTAGATACATTCGTACCTAAACAAATTTAATACAAACTTTTTGGGACAAAGGTAATAGTACTTTTCTTATAATGCTCTAGGGAGAGGGGATAAAAAAAACAGGTTTACTAATTCTCTCCCAGACGAGAATTTGTTAGGTCTCAACCGTATGATTCAGGCACCAAGATTTGTAATTTTCAGCCCCTTTTCGTGTTGTTTCTTGTTAGGCATCACATGAGGTTGGTTCCTATTTACTCCCTCCGTCCCAATAATATAAAAACGTTTTTCAAGCTAACTTGGTGCAGTGTCAAGGGTGGACATGCTAGTTGGGCGCCCCCTTGAAATGTGGGGGCCAAGCGCGCCCCAACTGGCATGTCCAACCTCGTTCAACTAGCAAGACTGTATTTTTAAATACTTGTTTAATATTTTCTAAATACTCATTCAATATTTTTAATACATATCCAATATTTTTTAAATACCTGTTCAACATTTTTAATACTTTTTTAATATTTTAAAATATTTTTTTCAACATTTTCTTAATACTTTTTTTCAACATCTTAAAATACTTGTTCAACATTTTTTCGAATACTTCCTCAATATTTTTCAAATGTGCATTTGAAGAGTGTTTTTTAGGACAAATTTTATCTACCACCGGTGATAATGAGTAAATGACCACGGGTAGCCCAGCCGGCTCCCCCTGGCTCTTCGGAAAAATTATAGGCCGATCGAGCCCTCAAGCGTCCAAGACTTGGGGCCGCCTTCCCCTAGCTGGCTGCCTCTCAGGCCGGCTGCAAGAAGGCGGCCCGGCCCTAAAAAACCCTCATGAAGAAACCCACGAGAGGGTCGGCTCCAAGAAGCCGGCCACAAGAGGGCCGGCTCCAAGAAGCCGGCCACGAAAAGGCTGACTCCAAGAAGACCGGCCCCCGGCAGGCGGCCAAGGCCGTGCCCTCAGAATCTACAACCACATAACGTCGACGAGACGGGGGCGTGGCTACAGTGAAGCCTGCCACCCCCGAATCCCGGCACGCGCGTGGACACAATGCGCCGTACGGGGCGGCCATCACCCGTCCGGCGCGGCACTGTTGCCATGTTGCCCATGACGTCACCCACGACGAGCCGTCAGTACGACCCGTGGGCGGCGGGCCCCATCAACCAGGGGGGGCAGTCGGCCTGGGGTATGGCCGACTCCCAATAGCCGGCTGGCTCTCTCCCTCGAGGAGGGCGCGCCATTAAGGAGACAAGACGAGGTAAGGCTACAGTAACAAGCCGCTAGGCGGCGGCACTGTGGCCATGCTTACCTCGACCAAGCCCTCGTCACCAGAGGCGAGGAAACAGTAACCAGCCCCCGACAAGACCCCAAGCGTTGGGACCGGCCTGTCGACCAGAAGGCCGGCAGCCAGCAGGGCCCACCAGTAGGCGGGCCCCAGCGGCCGGTGGAGAAGCCGGCAAGCGTAGACACTAACGGCTAGGGCCCGCGCCCAGCCGGATTACCATTGTACCCCTGGGGGGGTAGGCCTATATAAACCCCCAGGGCACCCATGCAAAGCGGAGACCTTTTAGAGTTTTAGACACCACATCGAGGGGAGAAGAGAGCTAGCCTTGCCCTTCTTCTTCCTCTGGCCAAACAGCTCAAGGAGCCTCTTGTAGCTACTTGTTGATCTAGTAACCATGCAGAGACCCCGCAGAGCAGCAGTAGGGGTGTTATCTCCACGGAGAGCCCCGAAGCTGGGTAAGATCCGCCGGCGTGCATGTCTTCGCCTTATCCCGCTTCTAGGCACCGGCGATGTTTTATTGGCTCCCACAATGATAAGCCATCCGTTGGCATATGTCGCACCAACCACCCGACATTTGGCGCCCACCGTGGGGCCAGGTGCACCGTCGTCCGGAGACCTGCTCTGGACGGGAACCCTCTTCCTTCCCAGCGAGCGTAGCCAGCCTGGCACGCCCGATGGCGCTTGCCCCGACGCGCTGCAAGGCACCGCCGACGCTTGTGCAGCGAGTTGCCTCGTCGATCTTCTTAGCGAGGCTCGCATCTCCGATGAGCCCGCGTCCGACGCGGGCACAGGCTGCCCCGAGAGACACCTCGTCAGCCTCCTCGACCAACTCCACGTCGCCAGCGAGCCTGCCGCGGACTTGGAGTCGGTTGGCTCCACCGACCCGATGCTTGTCGATTCCGACACGACATCGCTTGACGCCTTCCCCACCGACGTAGTGATCATCAACGACCCTCTTCCTCGAGCCGACAGTTGCGGCAGCGCCATCACAAAGGTGCTGGTCATTAGCCATGGTGTGGCCTCTGGTGAGAACGCGCACAACGCCCTGCAAGCGGTGCTGCATGATCTGTCCGCCCCCATCCCGGCAGACGCCGATGCCGAGACGCTGGAGGCACGCCGCCTCGCCCTCATTACGGAGGGCCAGAAGCTAGCCTCCATGAGACGCCTCACCAAGGCTCACCAGCACGAAGTTGACCGCGCCGCCTTCGGCACGCCGCCTCCCGATGGGCTGAGCCGCATCGGCATCATCAAGAAACGCGGCGCGGCCATCGCCAACATGCTGGGAGCAGACCGCCCAGTCTATGCCACGCCTCTCAAGAACCTACGCGCCGCCCAGGCGGCCGTAGACGAGCTGAATGGACTGGGGGCCGACGAGCTCCCTTACATGACCAGACGCATCCAGCAGCATATCGACGCGGCCACGGAGTGGCATGAAGCCGGCGTCCGCGCTGAGAGTCCTCCCCCGCGCCGAGAGAACGGTGCGACGTCACGAACGCCGACTGCGGGCAACACCCGCGCAAGGAAAGAAAAGGAGCAGGCTACCAGCCGCAGCCGGACTCGAATCTCCATCGAGCGTGACGCGGAAGGCTGCCCTCGAGCTGTGGAGCGGCGAGGCGATCCGCCTCCACCTCCGCCTTGTGGGGAGAGATACCCTACCCCGCCGTCTGTCACGCATCCGACTCTCAGCGGCCGACTGGGTCGCCGCGAAGGAGTCGGCGAGAATGACGCTCGCCACCGGATTGACCGCCTAGCGCGATCCCTGGCCCTGGAAGAAGAAGATGATGTCGGCCCGCCTTGCTTTGGCCCCCGCATCCACGACGAGCCCTTCCCCAAAGGGTTCTCGCTCCCAAGAGACACGCCCAAGTACAACAGCTCCGTGAAGCCGGAGGATTGGTTGATCGACTACTCCACTGCAGTCAGCATAGCAAACGGCAACAGGCGTGTTGCCGTGAAGTATGTCCCCCTCATGCTCCAAGGCACAGCGCGCACCTGGCTCAACAGCCTCAAGCCCTACAGCATCAACAGCTGGCTAGACTTCACAGAAGCCTTCATCTGCAACTTCACCAGTACCTACAAACGGGCTCCCAAGCCCCGATAGCTCTCCTTGTGTGTCCAAGGGCCCAATGAATCAACACGCGACTACCTCACGCGTTGGGCCGAGCTCCGCAATTCCTGCAAAGGGGTGCACGAGGTTCAAGCCATAGAGTACTTCACCACCGGGTGCCGAGAAGGCACCCTCCTCAAGCACAAACTCCTCTGCGACGAGCCGACTACCCTCGACGAGCTACTAGTCATAGCCGACAAGTACGCCACGGCCGATTCTTCAATGAAGACCGAGCTCCGAGTAGACGCCTCCGGGAAGGTGCTCACTCCAAATCCCAAGACACTGGCTGGAGACTCCAGCCGACGCCCGTACCAGAACGACCACAAGCGCCAGGCCCCTGGGCCGCCTTCCGCCAATCCGCGGGTGGCCACAGTCAAAGAAGAACAACCCGAAGGACGACCCGCGCCCAAGAAACAGAAGGGCGACAGGCCGGCTTGGCAGCCGGCTTTCTCCTACGAGCAAGCACTTGATGCCCCTGCAAGTTCCACAGCGGTGCGAAGCCCTCCAACCACACGACCCGGAAATGCCACTGGCTCATAAGAATCTCCAAGGGCGAAGGGCTAGTGCCGCCTCCGCCTGCTGGTCAGCCGCCACCCGCCCCTCCGCAGCCGGCCGCTCGACCAGCAGTCGGAGCTGTTCAAGACGAGTTCCCCGACGAGCATGCCGCCTACGTCGTCTTCACAAGCCAACCCAAAGACCGGTGTAGCTGGCGCCGACAACACCAAGAAGTCAACGAAGTTTCCTCCAACAACCCCGAGTTCATGCATTGGTCAAAAAGGCCTATCAGCTGGAGCCGGGCCGATCACCCAGAGGTGATGCCGTCTCCCGGCTCTTACGCATTGGTCTTGGACGCCACCCTCGCAACAG